TACACCATTCTCACAATCCTTCAAAGGTGGTATAATTACCCCTATTTTGCAGATGCTGAGTAAGGGAAGGTTAAGCATCTTGTCCAAAATTGCAAGTGGCGGAGCCAAGGTTATAGCCTAAATCTGACTAATTCCAAAACACATACACTTTCTACCCACTGTATGAAGCACACAAGTCATCACTAAGTTTGGTGGAGATCAGTGGCTGAGTGGTAGAATTTTTGCCTTAGACGAGGAAGACCCAAGTTCGTTTCTGGACAATGCACCTCACACACAATAACCACTCATCTGTCAGTGGAGGCTTGCAGAAGCTTTTATGTTGCTATGATGCTGAATAGGAGCTCTGGTAGCCTAATAGTTATGAGTCGGGCTGCTAAGCTCAAGATCAGGAGTTCAAAACTACCAGCTAGCTGTTCCATGGGAGAAAGATGAGGATTTCTGCTCCCATAAAGATATATAGCTTCGGAAATCCTATGCAGGGTCACTATAAATTGGAACCAATTTCACGGCACTTCAGCACCACCACCACCACCATGATGCTGAATAGGTTCCAACAGAACTTCCAAACCAGGACTAGAAAGAAAGGGCTGATGATTTACATTCCAAAATCAATCAATGAAAACCCTATGGTACACAACAGTCCAATTTGCATCTGACCATGGGGATGGAGCAGGACCCAGTAGTGTTTCGTTCCACTGTGGACAGGGTCACCATAAGTCAGGGAGCTGACTAGATGGCATCTAACAGCACTATATTTGAAGGGCACTTGACCATTCTCGTATCAGCTCATCTGGTTTTCTTCAGTGCTCTCCACTTACTGTATATTGAAATGAGAGAATTTTGAAAACATAAAAACTAGTTGAGATTGGAGTTTCTTATCATGCCATTCAAACCTGGGTGGTCAATGTAAAATATGCATGCCAGATTCAATGCTTTATCTTTTAGGGTAACATCTGATAGCATGCTCCACATTAGGAATTAAGACTACTATATTCAGCAGAAACATTCTAGAACTACTTTTCTCCCTCTGGTCTGTTTCTCATCCTAATTAACCTAATTATTACAGTAGGTTGTTTTTTAACTATCAAAAATAACCATATAAAAACTATGTCTAAGACAAATTTTTTTAATGGAACTCAATATTTTCCAAATGAATATGAAATTTGCAGACAAACTGGTCAACTTTAAACTGTGGATGGATACCGTAGCAAAATTTATCCATACTTTCTGCTTAAAAAAAAATTTATACTAATACCCTCCCATCCAAAAGAGGTTCTTCCTTTGTTGATTCTGTTTATGCTGATGAAACAGTGCTGTGTTACTCTATGCCAAGCTTGCCCTAAGTGACCTGCAGCAGATTGATTTTAATATAACGAAGACATGTTTTGCTTCTACATATTTGATTTTAAATTAATTTACAACCAAAGCCATAATTTTGAGCTGGCAAAAATAACCTCATCAAAAATAAAGCAACAGCGGTGAGTGTTGTATTTGGAGCAGGCCAATCAGTTTTAAAAGTCCTGGGATAAAATGAAACCTGTGGTGGCCACAGCCCCACCTGGATAATTCCTAAGGCGGACCTAGTTTGGAAATACCAGGGATGTCAGGAAAAAGCGGCAGTGAGCATAAGGAAAACATTCACTGAGCAGTTTCCTTGTGTGCCCTAGATTACTGGAACATGATACAGTCAGGTCCCAGGGCAGCACTGCTCAAAGCGGAGCCACGGTTGTTTGTAATACTCTCGGCAACTTGAAACTTTGAGACTTCAACAATAGCAGCAACTGGCTAAACTAAAATGCTTTGAGCAATGTAAGCACAGTGATTTAATCATTTCACAGGACTGTGTGTTTATCACTTATAAACAGGCTACAAATGGACAAATGGCTCCTTTTACCTTGTGCATACTGAAATAATGAATCTGCAACATTGGTATTACTCTGTATTCCCAAATACAAAAAAAAAAAAAAAAACCAAGATGAAAAACAATTTACATCCCATCATCTTATTTAATCCTAAACCATTTTGTTTTATTACTTTATAATCCTTGCCATTCTGCCTGGAACTTGTGCTGGATTGTTGTTTGTTATTGTTAAGTGCCAGCTAGTTGATTCCAACTCATAGAGATCCTGCATAGGGTTTCCGAGGAATGGTTGGTGAGCTTGAACCACCGACGTTGTAGTTCAAACCGACATCGCAGTCCATCGCAATAACCTGCCGCACCACACCAGGACTCCTTGTGTTAGATGTTGTTATTGTTAGGTGCCATCAAGTCGGTGCCAACTCATAGTGACCTTATACATAGCAGAATGAACCACTGCCCAATCCTGGGCCAACCTCACTATTGTTGCCACGCTTGAGCCCACTGATGCTGCCACTTGGCCAATCCATCTAATTTGGGGGTCTTCCTCTTTTTGGTAGGGTGACCCTCCACCTTACCAAACATGATATCCTTCTCCGGTGACTAGTCCCTCCTGAGAACATGTCTGAAGTATGAGAGAGTTTGGCCATCTTGGACTCCAAGGAGCACTCTAGGCCTTCCATGTTGTTCTTATCTTTGACTGTAGTAGTCTTTCTTTTAACATTGCCAAAGTATGTATATATTTTCTGTGTAGGCTTTGGTCAGGTAAGTGCTTTTATGCTTTCTTGGTTCACCAACTCTAGGTCATTTTTCAAGCTCTGATTATTTATTATTATGATCTATTCTTTGTTATATTCTCTCATCTTTATAATTTCCCTTTTACTGAAATCCAGATTTCACTATCCAGATTACCTGTCTCCTATGCTACCTTAATGAAACTGCTCTGTATATTTATACATTCACCGCTTTGCCTCGGTTCTCTGTTAGAGATGTCTTCCTCTTTAAGAGTTACCAGTAACATCAGTCTCATTCACATCTCAGAATCTAATCTCTTAGAAACATACTTTATGATTCACAAGCTTTTCATTTTCCATTAGAGTCTATTTTCTTAATATCCACTTGCCTCTTCTTCTTTCTCCTCTCTTTACCCTGGTTTTTGGCTACTTATACTGTCCCCTGTGACTAGAATGCCAGCTAATCCAAATAAAAAAGCTCTCTTTCTCTTCCAAATTTACTGCTTAAAAATTCTGATTATTGAGAAATCTTCCTAAATTTTAATTCCAATTTCAAATATCTTCTAATTTATTTATTCATTGTTATCACTGAGGAAGCTGGAATTAAATTGAATGACTTAACTCATAAGTTTAGAGCAAGCACAAATATGTACCAAAAAAATGATAACCACAGATTTTATTTCTTATACCGTTTAGCCCTATCACCCAATGACCTTGCATCAAATTGAATTCTCACTGTGTAGAACTCAAAGCATCCATCACTGTCTACAGAGACAGAAAGTGATACTGGGAAGGGAAAAATAAAAGGTATGAGGTATATGCATAGTTCATGCACATGCATATTAAAATTACACATTGCTCAAGAGTTTTCCCTTATAAAATTAAGAAATTCTTCTTTAAAAGGTAATTATATGTGTGTGGCACACAAACAGCTTTGCTCCCAATTTATGATTTTCTATATGTTTGAAACAGCTAAAATTCAAAAATTTGGAACTCAGCATCCTAAAGCAATAAAATGAATAAAAAAATGAACACAGTGTCTTGGGTTTGAGATGCATCACCCTAAAAGACTCCATGTGAATGATGGACAAAGGAAAACCTTATAGCAAATCACTGTGGTTGGGGGAGGGAATATATGTAAAGAATGAGAGTGGGGCTTAGGAAAAAGAAAAGACAAAACAAAACAAAACAGAGGCATTGATGAGTCGATGAAGACATGTGTCAAGATGGGAGGAATCTGACTATGGGATATAATTTGCATCTCACAACAAAACCAGTCCTTTAAACTAAAGGGCCTCCAGGATTTATGCATTCCCCTAAATCCCAAAAATAATAACTCATCATCAAAATACTTCTGAAGTATAGCCATGAAGTCATATATATAATCATCAGTCTCTGGGAGAGGGGAGGGGAAGACTTACACCCAAAGTAAATAAAAACGGTTAAACTGAAGAGAGTTGTAGTAGCACATTAGAGGAACTTTGTAGCAGTCAGCTTTCTACCACACTGGCATGGTGTGTTTTGTCCTTAAATATTCAAGTAGAAGACAGGCAATCAAATCAATGATGGCCCAGAAGGCATTCTTTTACTCAATAGGATTTAACCTCTACTCCTTCTCAGATCTCTTTTCTCCAAAAAGGAAACTAGAATTTTATACAGACAACAATCTAGAATAAAAAAATACTGTGCCTTCTTTTTCTGGCTAAACTAAAATTTGTTCTCAGGTAATGATACTCTTTAAAAATATCCTTTCCACTGGCTAGTCTACATGGAGGTGAAAGCTTTAAATCTTAAAAATAAGTGTCAGCTCACACTAATGGGCTAAAAGAAATCAGAGTACACACATTATGAAAGAAAGAGAGGGTCCAATATTCCAATATCATTTTATTCTCACTATAGAGACAGACCTGGGTTTTCTTTAGCAGTGTTAGGATATATAGGAAAAGTTGGAGGTCACAAAAAGGAAAGTGTAAAATGGATACACAGAGACTCCCTTGAACTGATGCAAACATACAGCTGGAAGGTAATATAAGACTAATTCTTCTAAATAAGTTTGACACTGAATAGAGTTTGGTACACCCTGTTCCAAATACCTATTCTTGGGACCATAGGTTTGAACACCAAAGTAATTGATTCATATTTGTCCACAGGGAATTGTAATTTACCAAATGTAGCAAAGCAAAGTGTAGGTTGACACCCCATTCTATACAAAGTGATGGCTTTTTTTTTTTTTTTTTTTAAAGTGGAAACATTATACGTTTAGTTGAGCACACAGACACTCAGTTGTTCACTAAGCCATCTTGATTATTCTAGGCACAATTGGTCATACCTAGAGACACAACTCCTAAATGGGCAATGCCTTAAAAAGTTCTCTCCAGCAGGTACCTGATTTTCATTTCTTCCCTTACCTGATAATGAGCCTGGGCTTGCTGAGCTGAGTTCAAGGTGACATTGCAGAGCTTGCAGTACAGGGGCTTACATAGCTCCTCCAGGGCAGAATCTTGCTCCCCTCCCTTAGATAACTCTTCTTCGCCCACAAGAGGCAAGGAAGCCTCCTGCCCAAAAGGCTTCTGTGGTGGCAGCTGCAAGGTTCCTGTGGACCTGGTAGCCACTGACATAGGAGGAGAGGATGAAGGCTGCTTAGGTGGAGGAAGCCCGGCGTGTTGCAAGAGGATCATTGGGTAGAAAAGCCTTGGGCATATTCCAGTGAACGACAAGAAATCTGGTCTTCAGATCTGAATCAATAGCAAAAGAACATTCATTTTAAAATGTAACCTCAAACTTAGCAATAGAACATGTATATGACCATACCATCTGATCCCTTCTTTTCCTTTCCAGAACCCATCTTTAAGACTTTCTTCCCCTTTGTCTCATCTCTGTCTCTTAGTCCACATTGACACAGCTACCTTTCCACTGAAAATGACTTTATAGATTTAGCTTTATTTTGCTTGGCTCAGCTCCAACTACTATCACTCTGGCCCATGAACATTAATAGCTTTGCATTCATGGTTAATTAAATCTAGAAGTCACATGTGCGAAATGGACATCAAAGGTCACCTAGTCCAGACCCCTTCCCCCAGGCACACTTACACACAAAGACTCTTAATGTGGATCATGCAGACAAAAAACAACTTCAGCTAAGAACCTTAGCAAATGTCTCCTTTCCATCCATACTCATCTTTCTATTCAAACTATGTAAGAAAAAAAAAGAAAAGACTCTCATCCTTAAAGCAGCTCTAGAACCAACTAAAATATCAAGAAATTCTAGGAATTACTAACCCAGAGGTAAAATATGACAGACATAAATAAAAATGTTCCTTCTGACCAACCGATAATATTTAAATAGTTGAGCCAATGATTCCTTACAACAGGGATTGCAAGACTACCCATAGCCACTGACAGGCTGTTCAAAATACACAGCGTACTAGTTTGCATTAGTTTTTTTTTTTATCGAATTAGTTGTCAACATTAAAAAATGGAGAGATCGCTGGCTTCTCTTGATAAAAGGATGATCCTGCAACACTTGACCCGTGTCCCAACATGGGGCTCAATTAGCTGGTCCCTTGAAGCCAGGTCTGCTGTCTCTAGGTCACCTCTGTCCCTATTCAGCCTGTTTCCTTTAAGCCCTTGATTTTAGGACTCCATATCATACAACCTTAGACTAGATTTATGAGTCTCCTGTAAATTAAATATATTTTTTCTCCTTCTAGAGGCAAATTCTCTGTGTGTGCGCACATACACAAATGTTCAAACAAATGTGCAACGTGTTAATGGATCACACTACCATCAGCCCGGACTCCTCGTGTGGCACTGTAGGGTCAGTTCTGGATTTCAAACCACAAGGTTAGCAGTTCAAACTCACCAGCTGCTCTTCAGAAACCCTATACATAGGGTCACTGAGAGTCAGAAGTGACTTGTTAGCACTTAACAACAACAACAACCAATTTCTAAGTCTTTAGCTTATTCCCCGTCCCCATCTTGTTAAAAACCTGACAGCCCCTATTTTGTTTTCCTCAGAAAATGGGCAATATGTTCTACACCCTCTTCAATCTTTATGCATGATCCTTCCTGCCTCCCACCCAGATGGCATCTTTTAACCACGAGTATCTCAAAAATGAACCACAGTACACACTTCTAGTTCTTAAGATCCTCATTAACCCAAATTGAAATCCTTATTTCAAAATCCACTATAGCCTTCACTCTCTCAACATTATTAAAAGCTTTTTTCTTAGTCAATAGCCTATGGGTATTTTTAGCTGCTAAAATACTGAGCTGAAATTCTCCCTCTACAATGGAAATGTGTACATTTTTTAACAGTAACATATTTACTAAAATAAACCAGGTGAATTTTGAAATGTTAAGAGTATTTTTTTTTTTTTTTAACCTCATTGGAGATGAACTTGCTCCCCAGAAGTTGCAATTAAGTAACAACTTTGATATTAAATTTACAGCCAGGGGCAACAGAGGACACCTGAGCACTAGGGAAATAACGTTGTTGTTGTTATTGTTATGTGCCCTGGAGTCGGTTCCGACTCATAGCAACCCTGTACAGGGTTTCCTCATCTTTCTCCCAGGAACAGCTGGTAGTTTCGAACTGCTGACCCTGAAGCTAGCAGCCCGATTTGTAACCACTACGCTAATGTAGTTAAGAGCAAAACAGGTAAATCATTTTGGAAAACAATAATATCATTTGATTCTTAAGCAGAAGTATGTTGTCAATAACTCTGGAAACATGAAGTTTAGCAAAAACAAATTTGGCACACTTTAAAAGGCTAGGTTTTCGACAAGCATACAATTCCTGTCAGTTAAATCAAGCAAACACATCTGGAAAGCAAAGACTGATTAGTTCACTTTAAAAGGGAAACCAAGGAGACAAAGATCACTTTAAAAAAAAAAAAAAAAGGTTAACTAATTATAATAATTCATAATGCTAAAGATCACACATGTCGCCTGTTATACTGGGTCACACTGATGCCAAACTGCCCCAAACATGCTGCTAGTTCAGAAACTAGAAGTAAAGGAAGGTGCAAAATATCCTAATCAAGTATATCAACAATATCATGAGAAATCAAATGCTACCAATTGCCTAGACATGTCTGAACTTGTTTTTTGAAAGCTCACTCCCACTTGAGGAAATTCCAGGATGTGTCTCCCCCAGTGTTGCTCACAGGTTCCCATCAAAATAAAAGCTCTTCTCTAAGCACAGAGGTATCCAAGGCCTCTTTTCGGAGAAAAACTACTGAAATATCATTTTAGCTACATAATTTGTGAAGAATATCTAGCTATTAAAAAATCATTTCATCTGATATATTCAACAATCAAAATAGTAATATCAACTCAAAAAAAATCTACACATGACAACTACATCTGGTATCATTAAGCTTGTCAACAAAAAATAGCATCAAATATAAATCTAAACTAAATTAAACCAAGACTTCAAAGAATGCCAGAATGGTGGAATACTGAGAGAGCCAAACCATATGAAACTCAAATTCTTTCAAGTGTTACATAGATCAGAAGAAACTGGCTTGAAGGTTGATGTAAACAAATATTCCTCATATCTTAAAAACCATTCAATTTGATGCGTGGGATGGTATAAAGGAAAGATTTATGATAGTTAATGTTCTGGTTTAGGAAAGATTGAGGGGGAAATCTGAGCGTCACTCTATACTCTGCATAAGAAAATCAAGTCTCATAGTTTTCATGACTGAATTGGGGCCTACTTTTACATTCTGTATCAAAGAATTACTTTCTCATTTAGAGGAGAGAGATGAAAATAAAGGAGATTACTGGCCCTTCGGTGTGTTATTGGGAATTCTGGAAATGAGAGAAAGACAGCGAGCATTAATTACTCAGAGGTCATCAGAATGCAGCGAGTAGGAATGAAATGAGGAGAAAAAAAAAAAAAATGATTACCAACTGAATGGTTTATCGTCTAAGGAAGAATCCGAAAGAACGCAGGAACCTGGGCGAGAGGCCTCGGAGAATTGGCGAATGTTTGCCAATCTCAGTCCTGATGGTTCCTAATCCTACGGAACGCTTTACATATTTGAATCAGCGCTACGTATACTTGATCATCGCCCACGTATACTTTGCATTCCTAAAATGTGTGTGCATACACACGCACGCACACACCTCAATACCGTAAGGATGCCATCACGGAAGATGGAATCCCCGACTCCCAAGGGGCGGAGGCTTCGAGGGCCAAAGCAGCTGCTTCAGGTAGACACGGTCCAAATGATACACGTGAAATGCTTAAAACAAACAAATAAATAAACCAATGCAGCGCAACCCCATCACGTGGAGGGCAGGTGGAAGGACAGCATCCTCGCCGCTCCCTGGCTTGTCACCACCACCGAGGCTCCCCGCCGCCCGCCAGTACTCACCGGAACCCCGGGACCCCGGGACGCACCCGGAGTCTCGGCCCGCGATCGCCCGGGATGGCGCCACCCGCTCCGCGTCCGCTCAGCTCGCTCAACTCCTCCTCTCCGCCGCGCAACTTTCTCGGCTGGCCTCCGCTGAGCCCCTCCACAGCTGAAAGCTGACTGTCAAAAGTCAGTCCAACCCCACATAGAAGGAAACAGCTGCAGGAAGTGACTGCGGAACCGAGAGGCGGCGGAGGAGGAGACAAGCGCCGGGCCGGCGTCACCACTGCGCATGTGCCGACCAAACAGGCCCCCTCGGCGGCAGCGGCTCCTGCATCCCCCGCGCTCAGTGAGTCGGCAGGTGCCCCTACTGGGAACGCTAGGGCGTCGGGCATGGGTGGGGAACATCAGAACCAGTCAAATGCAGGATACACCGCCGCCAATCCCAACAGACAACATCTAAAAGCATGATCATGTACCCTGAAAGTTGAATCTTAGCAGAAGCTTGGTTAAAGCTCTTGGAACTTTTGAGCTCCAAACCTTTTTCATTGCATTTCCCCCTTGGCTTGCTGGTTGCCAGCTATTTTGCTTGAGTGGAACTCCCAAGATATCCCGAAGCCTGTAAACTATATCTGTTGCCATCAAATAAGATCCCATATATATGCAACCCTGCCTTCTCTCCAGCAATAACATAGAATGAGATTGTTGTTGTTTAACGCCCTCGAGTCAGTTCCAACTCCAACTCATAGGACACACAGGAAGAAGGAGCTCTGGTAGAGTAGTGGTTACAAATTGGCCTGCGAACCTCAGGGTCAGCAATTCGAAACTACCAGCTGTTCCAAGGGAGAAAGATGAGGCTTTCTGCTCTGTACAGGGTGTATAAGTCGGAACCAACTCCATGGCACATAACAACAACTACAAGAAGCTGCTTGTGGGTTTGAACTGCCAACCTTGTGATTTGCCATCCAGTGTTGATCCTACAGCACCACAATAGGAGTCCATTACAGGAGATTTTTCCTGATCCTGAGCCTCACCGCTAAGACAGAAAGGACCAAGAAAAGACCCAGCTAAAGCTAGAATGTCACATCCTCTCATAATCAATCTGAATATCTTCAGGGCTTATGTGGAGAGGTGAACTGAGAAAATTCTGTTAGTTTGTAAAGTCATCTATATGAAAATTTGTGGATTCATTTTTTAAATGCCATGGAAATCTAAGTATAGCAGAAGATGCCTACTTGTTGATGTTGTTAAGTGCTGTCAAGTCGGTTCCTACTCATAACAACTCTGTATAGGGTTTCGGAGGAGTGACTGGTGAGTTTGAACTGCCGACACTGCAG